ATTGTTCCAGACTGAGAAAGAATGAATTTGTTAATCTAAATTCAGAAACAAAAAACGTTGGGAATGCATTCCGCCTCCCTCTCTGCCATCCTTAGGTGCATGTGAATTTGTGGTAAGTATGATCTGTCTGACTATGAGATCTAAACAAGATTTCACTCGACATCGATAAATCTGATCCTAGTGAGCTAATCCTCGTTTGACTTGATCTTTCAGGCGACTCGGAATGGAAAAAAAATGAGCACATCTGATGCCACACTAGTACCGGCAAACTTGAGAACACCCTACCTGGAAGGTAAACTAAAACTCAGTAACGTACTCGACAAGAATCGATTCGTTGTTTCGTCTTCAGCACTTGCCAGAGTTGAGTAGGCGCTGATCTGTGCACACGTCTCAGCGGCCTCCTCGAAGCCTTGTTTCTCGCTGAAGAATCGATAGCATTTACCATTCCACATCTCGAATCCTTCCGGGCATCTCTCCTTGCCTCCTTTAAAACAATTCCTTTGATAGGCTCCAAAACTATTCCGTTATACAAGATGATCAAATCAGGAGTCATATGCAAACGGAAAACTCCGATTCATTAGAATATCTTTAAAAAATCTCTTAAATCCAATGCTGAATCGTGTTCTTTTCACGACAGATGTTCTCTGATGAGCTTAGAAGATGTGATATCGATGAAATTGTTAAGGAGGATGGAACAGCAATGCCATGGTTGCTTTTATTTCTAAGGGATTGTATCCAGCACACTCATGATGAATTGATAGTGTCCGAGTGAATCTTACTCGATTCGCATAAGTAGTTATAATTCCTGGAAAATTGTGATGATGACATGAACACATTCGTTCCATCTATATTGCTCAGTACTCGATAGGACGTTCGTGGCTGAAAACTGGGTAGCATTTCTAGGTTTGCGGAGAAAATTTGGAGTTGAAAATTATCTTTTTGAGGAAAATTCGAATCAGCATAGTGCATGTGCATTCAGCTTGTACAGCGATAAGCACGCGTCTTCAAAACATGAATCTTCAAAACATGAAAGCAAGTGTTGAATCATCTGGCTTTTCGTTGACTTGCCAACGTGTTACTTGCACTTTTGCTGCACTTATTCATGATTGCAACTATCTGGCCTGAGGAGATCCATTCACATCGGATCAGAGCCTCTGAGTTCCTTACAACAGCCAATTTCACAAGCCGATTGAGTACTTTTCAGAGAAGCTAAGACATGTTCATAGCTAGCAATAAAATAAGTGCTGTAATGTTGACGGCGTTCATGACAAAACATGAATTTATCTGGAAAACATTTTTGTGCCACCGATTAACACGAGTCATTTCCCCGCTGAAAAGCCATTCAATAAACTCACATTGAACACACTACTTTGCTTCAGAGCCACCAGTAAATCACGGCTATCGATTGTGGCCAATGTGGCCGCTGTGCCGAGATCCTCTTTA